TAATTATAATATCGTTTTAAATCCTAACAAGGAGTTCACAAATTAGTAACAATTTAAGAAACGACTTGCAAGAACCCCATACAGCTCAACATTGTATATGGACTATGTTCATTCTCCCTGTACAGTTATACTGGTTCATGTTCATTCTCCCTGTATAGTTACACTGGTCAAAAATATTCGCATGAAAGCCATAAAGTCATTATTTTGTTCTCTTAAGTTACCCAGTAGGACGTGCACTGTATTATGTAACATGAGAACACAGCCCAAGCAATTAAATGACGCACAAATTAAGCATATTTTTACAATTCAGTAAAAAAATGCATTCTATATCAATTGCAACATTTATTATATAAAATTGCTTAAAATAATGTTAATTTTAAAATTAAAAACAAATAAATCTTTTTTTTTTCAGATGTCTAGAAATCATTGATTTTTATGAGAAATTTTCGTTTTTTATTTGTGAATGCAATTATAATCCAAATTAAGCAGAATGAATGAACATGAACGAGTTATATAATTAATATTAAAATCAATTAGGCCCAAGAAGTATTTGATATTTTGCAATAAAGCATCTATTTCACAGTGCTATTGACATATTTTGCCCTTGAGCACATGTAACATCTCCGGCATTATAATTCTTGTCTTTGTGGTTCATCAAATCATTTTCTGTAAGAAATTGGCTAATTCTATGGTAAAGTATCTTCCAGATTTGTATAGTGGAGCTAGGATGCACTTTGCTATTTCACTAGAACTGCTGACTTTCTTGTATAGCCCATCTGGCTGCTGACATGTGTAACTTTCCATGGTGAAAGTATAAAAGGTTCTAGAATAAACCATAGGAAATATCTCTATACCATATCTTGCAGGTTTCTTAGGTATATACTGTTGAAAGGAGCATCGTCCTTGAAAAGGTTCTAGCTCCTCACTCAAAGTCACGTACATGCTGGCCACCGTAAATGCAACACCCTGAAGGAAGCATGCAAATAACATGAAATTACAACATGCATTAGCGGAGGTGAGATATGCAAATGCACATGCACATCCCGCGTGCCTCTGGCGCCACTTCAAAGTGCTATTTAAGGAGTTTTCGGCGATTGTGTTTTTTTTTTAAAAAATGATCAATTATGCCTCGTAGTAAACAGCGATCATCGTTTGATCAAGTATCCGAGTTCGACAGAGGAAGAATAGTGGTCTACTGAAGTGTGGATTATCTTTCAGGGAAATCGGTAGCCGTGTTGGATGAAACCAAACAACTGTAATGCAGATATGTGATCGTTGGATGTAGGAGGGTACGACGGACCATCGTGTTCGATCACATCCATCTCAGTGCACTACTTCACGTGATGACAGGAACATAGCATAGCAGTGACGGATCGCTCAGTCACATCATGAACCATAGTACAGCACATTCAGTCTGTAACTCATCATTCAGTGTCTGCGCGTACCATTCGACGCCGTTTACAGCAGAGTGATCTGTCTGCAAGACGTCTATTGCTTAGTCTACCTTTGACGCAGAGCCGCAGACGTCTCCGCTGCCAATGGTGCGATGAAAGAGGATGTGGACAGCAGAATGGAATAAAATTGTCTTAACTGACGAGTCACGCTTCTGCCTGCAACACCACGATGGTCGGATTCAAGTCTGGAGACACCGTGGAGAGAGGATACTGAACAGCTGTGTTATGCACTGCTGCACTTGTCCTGCAGCAGGTATTATGGTTATGGGGCGGTATTGGATATCACTCTCGCACTCCTCTAATACGCATTGCTGGTACTTTAAACAGCCAGCGCTACATGTCCGAGGTGTCGGAGCCAGTTTTCCTTCCTTATCTTCAGGGCTTGCCCACAGCCATATTTCAACAGGATAATGCACGACCACACGTGGCACGCATTGTCCAAGGGTTCTTTGTCAATCGTCAGATTGAATTGCTTCCCTGGCCGGCTGCTCTCCAGATCTTTCGCCAATAGAAAACATGTGGTCTTTGTTTGCTGAAGACTGACCCATATTACATCCCAAGCAGCCACACCAGATCAACTTTGGCAATGTGTGGACGCTGCTTGGTCTACTGTACCACAAGAACACATCCAATGTCTCTTTGAATCAATGCAGAGGTGTGTGGTGGCAGTGATCTCCAACAATGGTGGCTACTGATTCTGGAAGGAACCACACTTCACAGAAATCTAAATTTAATCATTTGATACTTGGTCAACATGTTATCTATTGAGTAAATTTTATTTTGATATCTCGTCTTTCTTGGTGTTGCAATTTGGGTGGCCAGCAGTTGTAATTTGTGAATTCTTGACAAAATTTTCAAATAAATATCTTATTGGAGCTAATTTTTCACTCTTTCTTCTGTCATCCTGTGTTCCGACATCTTGCGTCTTTCTCTTTTAAAATTTACCGAAATATTTTTTACGAAAATATTAGAGCATTTCACAATCATTTGAATCATCAAATATTAGGTTCCATGCATTGATGGGTGAAGCCATATCTTTAGATATATGCATATTGCTTGGCAATTTTTTATGATACTACAGGACGTCATGCGTCTTTGAACTCGAAAGAGTTCGTTCTGCTATTCTGTTATTTTATCCTTTCCTATAAAATAGTCAATTTAATCACCACTAAATATATCTTCATTATCTAAATCTTCTACTATAAAATCTTCATCTGACGAAACATTCTCTAATAATTTAGAAGTCTTTTCTTTTCTTGATCATACATCAAATAAGGAAAAGACCAAACAGAACGACTTGCACACGCCTTGGCTCGCACTGAAAAATAGTAACACGAAAGCGAGCGTGGGGTGTTGGCACACCCCAAACTATTATTTAACCACAATAAATGCTCAGAATTTGCCGTTTCCTCTCAAGACGTATAGATCATTACCTTGGAGGCAGTTACTGATAGACCTAACCATTTCGGATTATAGGGAAAGATTGTCAGCAAATTTTTTTGAGCGTGTTCCCGTGTTAATGTGTATTTTTAATAATTCATTTAAGTATGTACGATACCAAACCAGATAATACAGAACATGATTTCTATCTTCCTATATTTATTGTAATTAAGTTTAGATCTTTTGTCGTCAAGAAAAGTTCTTCTCACATGATACAGCAGTTTTACCGAGAGATTTGGAATTTTCATCACATATTCCAGTCTCCAGGTAGATCACTTAATCTCCCATTTTTTAATTTTTACCCTTAATTAAGAAAAATATTTTTGTCAAATTAAGTTTATTGCATTAATAAAACTTTAAACAAATTTCCCTAGCCTTTACCCCAAATGATTTTAACCATATTTCTTGCTGAATTTCTGAGTTTTCTTATTTATGAAGATTCAAGCAGTGTTAATCAATTAATATTTATGTTAAATGTCTTTCATGAAAGTATGGTACCTTACCAAGTTTATCCATAAACTATTATATATATTATTTTCATATTTATCTTATTTAAAAATACACGAATAATAAAAGTTTCCCTTCTCTACTCAGGTTTTTTTCAATATAAAAGCATAAGAAACAAAATGAAATTATCCAAAGAACATAATTTAGCATGACTAATTATGTTAACATATATTACATTAAAAAATTATAAATAGTTTAATAATTATAAAGTGAATTTACACATTTTCAGTTCTTTCTAAACAGCCCAAAATGAAACCTCTCAATTTTCACAGGTTTCCCATATTTCAAAGTTGGCAGCTATGATATCACCATTTCTACAACTATTTTCCAATATTTTGTAAGCTTGTCCCCTCTGTTTTCAGAGAAACTATGTTGTTTTTCTACAAAGAAAGTTATGGGGTAGTTTTTGGTAGCCTCAATGGGATCATACTGCTTGCCACTAAAACTTATGCAGAACCAGAACAGATAAAAACCTGAATGAGAAAGGTCTGGAGAAAATAGCAATAGCAAAAGTTTCATTTTAATTTCAATTTTTATAGCAACATGTAATATTGTAATGGCCTTTTCAGCAGCCCAAACCATTTTTTAAATTTGAAAATTTCTGTACTTAGTTGGTAAGTTGGTTGGAGTGCTTGTCTAGTGATTTTTTACTTAATGAAAGAAACTAGAAGAAAACTATTTCTCTGTATTTTCACTTGCTTGTTTTCAGTTCCTTTTTCAATATATGTTTTTGCACAGGACCTTTTCATTATTTGCTGATTCAATCTACAAACAGTTATAGCTTAGATTTATGTCAAAAAATGTAACATCCATGTAGAGCTTAGAAGTGAATCCAAGCCTACCTAACAGACAAAATATAAAAAAGTCTCTCAGCAATTTCTTCAGTACTAATTATTGGGTTATTTTCCATTAAGACACATGATACTGGAACTTTTACATAAAGGCTGTCTGAAGTGTGAATTTATCATACAAGTTAAAGTCACTGTTTTGAAATCTGCCTAACCAATAGCTTTATTGTGCTCAGAGCAGAAGCACATTTCAAATGATTTTTGTAATTATTCCAACATTCATTCCTTTTAAAACTAACATAGCATAATATGGCACAGATGTAACTCTTTGTTCTCCATTTTGGCATGTCCTTTCACCAGTGGTGTAGCTAGGGGAGTACATCTGTCCTGGGGCACAGCATTCAGGGTACGCCAAATTGATGTTACGAAATTTTAGAATGAAATGTTTTCCATTCTAGGCACACAGAAAGGGGAACAAAATCTTCAATTGTCTCCAGGTGCTCAAAACCCTATGCCCATTCCTCTCACACAGAGAAATAGACTTCAGTAAACAATGGTGCATCTCTAAAATGACTTTTAATTTCTAACTCGTAAATCGCACGTTCTATAAAATAAGTACTAGTGCTTCCTTGCTTCTATATTCCCATTACTTTTTGAAATTTTACAGTCATCCAATAAAATTCAAAGAATTTGTACATCTTTCCTAGCCTGTTCTGATGTGTTTAAAGTACGATTGATTATAATGCCTACAATGAAACATACCAACTTAAAATTTAAAAAAAAAAAAAAAAAAAAAAAAAAAAAGATACACTTTTAGTAAGAAATTATTTTAATTTGACTACAATCAAAGCGGATGAGTATTAAAAATATCAAGCATAAGAATCTGTATGAATTAAATAGATCAATATGCAATTGATACAGATTCTTTTACAAGGATTAGAAATATATTTTTTTTTTCAAAAAGTATTTTCTCTTAAATATCACTAACAATTTTTTACAAGTGCTGATATATTGACCATTTTACATAACAGTACCGCTTAAAATATCCTCGCCATGAATCAAAAAATATTCTACAAGACAAACATAGTTACAAGACGTTAACCACATGATGTCTTGAGCACAAAACAAACAACCAAGTCCAAAATATCACAACTTGCAAATTCTGATACTTCGCAACTAAGTTAAAAGATTTTTTATGTGTCGCTTATATATCCATCTATTAAATATTACAAATTGTGCACGACATACATGTGGTTAACAATATAGAAGTCAGTCTTTATATATATGTACAAGTAAGTTTCTATTTCAATAATCTGCAAAAATTTCAACATAATTCATACAACACGAGAAATTCTAAGATTAAACCAAATTAACAATGAGCAGTATTGCTTGAAAATATTCCAGACTCTAACTGAATATGTAGAACTGGCTGGTTTCTTATTCCATCAGACACACCAGTTCCAGTTTGAGGAGGAGGAGGAGGTGGCTGACGCCGTGTACTCTGCATTTGCCTAGAATGATTTGCTAAAAAAAAAAAAAAAAAAAAAAAAAAAATATAATATATATATTATATATATATATATATATATATACACACATTATCAAATTATACATGCAAAATAATAAAAATAATACAATATAGAGGATTTTTCTTAAATTTCTATACATTAAAAATCCCTGTATAAATTTGACAAATCAAATACATTCCCCAAAAGGAAAAAGCTAAATGATTCCACACAAGTACATCATAAATGTATTAAAAACAACTTTTAGTAAAATAATGCTGCAAATGAAATTGTAAAAATTAGCAGCTGGACATATAGATTAAATGCATTTAAAAATTATATCAGACCTTAAAATAACCACCACTTATCATTAAGCTGCCTATTTTCATCTGTAGATTTTTTTACCAGTATATGAAATATGAATCAGTACCCGGAGGAGGGGGAAAGAAAATTTTCAGCTAATACTTACAGAATTAGCTTTTTGCCCTGCTGAAAGAAGAAAATGGCAACTACTGGCAGAAATTATGATTTAAAATGTTTCATCTATTATTAATATATACTAACTTTTAAATGAGTTTTAATATACAAAAAAATAGTAGATTATTTTAATTAAAATATATTAATTACAAAATAATATTACTTTAATCATCATAATTGTAATACAGTCAAAAGTCGTTAATCCGGACACCCATAATCCAGACCTTAAAGCTACAAACTTTCTGCGCATGCACGTAATACCTTTACGTGTGCGCATGCACATAATACGTTTATTAAACGTGCATGCGTTTAATGTAAAACAAACGGTATAAGCTAAGCTAAAATTATCTAATTATCTATTTCAGTTAATGTTGCAGATTGCGTTGTTCCTTTATCTTCTAATTGGATCCAGCTTATTATTTTTTGCAGACTGTTAAAACAATTTTATAAAAGTAAGCTTGAACTTTCTATTATGTCAAAAAGAATTTCTGATTCTAGAGCTGCCGAAGGATCTACAAAGCGAAAGCATGTTTCGTTTTGGCAATGTATCATAAGACTGCGAAAGCATTTTCAAACAAAAAGTGGAATCGCCACAAAAAATGGATAAAGGCATATCCTTTGTTTCTCTAACCATTCCAAAATCTGTTTATCAATTTCACGCTGCTCTGCGCGGGGGGGGGGGGAACGACGCGGCGCGCAATGAACTGGAAATTGATCTGTCAGCACTATCCTTATCTTCAGGGCAGATGTTTTTATTTTATTCAGCTTATAATTCCTTACTAAATGTAGTATTTCATCTCGATGTACTCCGTCTTTGATATGATTTAAATCAAATTCCTCGTCATTATAAATATCACAAATACACATCAAATAGTTTTCTGGTTGCAATTTTCTAATTTTGACTATGCGTATTGTATGCTTTACACAAGCGCGCGTTGAAAGAAATATTTAATAAAGTAAACAAATAAATATTAAGCTATTTTTTTTGTAAATTTTGATACCCTTTAGATCATAATTGCTCTTTATTTCATAAATTACAGTTTCATATTTTTAATTTTATAATTTCTGCATGCCATCTTACCAGATTTAAACTGATGATCTATAATACGGAAAAACCGATAATCCGGAATCGCCGAAATCCCGACGAGTCCGGATTAAAGACTTTTGACTGTAATGGAAAACGAACAAATATCTTCTGTTTTTGCTTATTTATTCAGTTTTAGTTTTTGATTATTATTTTGTATTTCTACAAATTAGAAATTAATGAAATTAGAATTGTAAATTAAAAAGTTAAAGCTTATTAAAGAAGCAGTGAAAAAAAAAAACGAATAGAGTACTTCCACTTCATTGACTATTTGATGGATTGTGCACAGAGACTGATGAATGGTTTATTATTAGAGCTGCAGATAGACTGTCAACGACTGCTGCTAGTCAGGTGGTATCTCCACCAACTTTCATGATCAACAGAATAATACTGAATGTGTTATTGTCTGTCTAGGGTAAGAACAGCTCCCACCAAGGTGTTTGGCAGGTGGCGGTCGCTATAGTAACAGGGCTAGTATATTTGAAATAGGGACACACTAAGGGTTGCTTTATTGTTATCTTGTTTTTGGCGACTGTTGGCTGAAGGGAAACGAGTTTATTATATTTTCTTAAGCCTTATATTATTACTATTAGCTATTTTTATTCTCGTTGTTATATCTTTTGTACTGGTATTTGTTCAAATTCACTTCTGGTTTAGTATTAGAGTTTAGCCTGATTTTCGTAGTGCTTTGTTAATCATCAATTTTTTAAAATGCCCTTCCAGTTTAAGAAAGGTCAACCTTTAAAGTCTCAAGCACGTCAAATCGTGTACAGTGTCGCAGAATTTTGTGCTTCTGAAGCTTCGGCGAACTCTTTAGTAGTTCCTTCTTCCTCAAGTTTTGAAGAGAACATCGCAAGCTACTGGAGTATCGGAGTATACAATTGAAAAAAATTTAGAAGTATCAACAATGGGTGAAAATAAACTTCTAAATACACCTGGAAAGAAACGTAAAAGCCCTACTAATCATAAGTGCGAAATTGACGATTTTCACAAATGTGTTATACGGCAGACAATACAAGACTTTTACATCAAAGCAAAGAAAGTGCCATCTGTGCAGAAATTACTGCCTGTCTTGAGGCAAAAAATAGACTTCCTGTGGCAAAAAGATTCATTGTGCAAAGTTTTGCGTTCAATGAATTTTCGCTGGAAGAAACGCATTAACAAAAGAAAAATTCTTATCGAAAGACCTCGCATTGTATTTTGGAGAAACAACTATTTATGCGAAATGAAGAAACTCAGGGCAAGTTTACATCAGCGAAACATGGCTTGACAACAATTTATTTTTGAAGAAATGTTGGCAGCATGATACGGTTTTGGGCGCATAGATAAATGTCAGTTAAAAAAATAGACCGATTGTTGTCCAGTCTTCCACAGGATTTATTTCAGGTGCTCAACTTGTATATAAAGCACCAGCTCAAAGCGGGGATTACCACGGGCAAATGAACTATGAAAGTTTTGAAAAATGGGTGTTGGAAAAGCTTCTTCCAAATTTATGATCACAAAGTATGGTATGCATGGATAATACCTCATCACACAAAAACTGAAGATCCAACACCCACGAAATATGCTACAAAGCAAACAATGGTAAATTGGCTGATGAAGACGATATGCTACGATCCCAAAATGTGAAAAGCGGAACTGTTTAACTTAATAGAATGCAATTGTAATAAAAAAGTACCGTAATTTCGCGCGTATAGTCCGCGGACTATCTGTGTTTAAAATGCGAATTTTTGAAGCTGCGGACTATCCACCAGTGCGGATAATACGCTGGTTGTTCACGGTTAAAATTGTTGAAATTTAAAAAACGCGCTGTCGTGAACTGCCGATGATCAAGTATAAAAAAAGCGTGAGATTCCAAGTATCCTTCACACTGCTTTAGCACAACTGCCAGGAGGGGGAAAAGTAGTCGATGCGTCAACTCGGTTTTTAGGAGCCATAGTAGCAAGTACCTGGAGTACGAAAAAAAAAGCGTGATTCGTTTACTTATAGCGTGGTTTGGCAACACCGAGTGAATGGAGTCGAAGGTCACATTTCATTACCACTTATCACGAGGATAGCATGTTGCACAGTATTTTGTTTTTGTATTTTGTCTTTCATCTTCGCTAACGTTGATGAAACATCGCCGGAGATTTACTGCTGAGAGGTAGTTGAGAAAACTGAAAAAGATGAAAATAGAGAAGCGGGCCGTTTATTGGTTTAATCCTAGTATCCGGTGCACACGGGATTTGACTACTTTTGGAGACTTTATGATGAGCAGTAAAAACGGGACATATACGATGAGTAGTTAATGGGTCATTCAAAGAAAATATATAGTTAAACATAGTATATACTATGTATATAGTATATATACTATACACGCATAGTATATATATAGACGTTCTTTGGATCATTTTTGGTGTTGGCGATAATTTTCAAAGTCGCGCCAAGGCTGCACCGTATACTAGGATTTTACTCCGTTATTTTAAAGTGGACAAGAAAGCGGTGAGAAATTTGCGCAAACAAAAGGATGTGTTTAAAAAGCATGGGAATATTGCCGTATTAAAAAAACATAATTTCGGACGTATAGTCCGCGGACTATCTGACAATTTTTAAATTTTTTTTTATATAAAATCGTGTCTGCGGACTATACGTGCGAAATTACGGTAATCTATAAAATCGACAACATCATAAAAGAAAATGGGCATCATGTTGTGCGTCTCCCTCCTTAGCACTGTGATCTAAATGCAACTGAATATGTTTGGTCATCAGTTAAAAGACTGATCAGGGAAAGGAATGTGACTGGGGACTTAAGGTTGGAAAATTTGAAAAATTTAACACAAAAAGCTTTGGATGAAATCCCTTCTCAAGAATGGCAGGCGCACTGCAACCACGTGAAAAAACATGAAAATTCTTATTGGGACAAGGACGAACTTCTAGAAGAGATAGTGGATGAATAAATAATTCAAACTGGCAGCAGTGAATCCGATTCCGATTCAGAAGAAACGGAATCTTGCGACAGTGATTCAGACGACTTTTCAGATGTTATACCTCTATAAAAGTCCTCCACGAAGGCATCCTTCTTCTTCATCTGATTGCTCTCTCAAGTTATGAGGATATTTCTAGGTTTAGTATTTTCTTTGCCACTATGTAAATGAAAGTCTACCAAAAGTGGGCAACAATGAGGCAGAGGCGAACCCCCCCTTTTGGATAATAAAGAACACTGCATGGTTGCTCCTTTTCCCATTATTGTGTTCTTGGGGACCTACAAGCCATGGTATAATTTGCTTAAAAATAATTTTTAATCTGGAATTAATATATTATATTAATATATCATTAATATATTATATTTTAATGGAACAAAGCTCATTGCAGTTATAAAAGCCAAATTTTGTATAATTATATAAATTTCATATAATTTTAAATATGAAATAGGTAACTGAATAATTTAAGAGACCTTAATTTTGTTCTGATTTTAACATTTTATTATGCTACTAGCTATTACATAAAATGTCTTTAAAAAGTAGCATAATACATAAATGGGCGGTGGCAATTAAGAGGCCTACCATTGGCCGATCGGTAAAGTAACTGAACACTGGTAGTTCGGTCCGAGGTTTGAATCCCATGAACGGGCTGGCTGCATAGGCGTTTTTGTAGTTTTCCCCATGTGTAACGTGTATACGAGTCAGTTTCCCTTAGGAAGTCCTCCACGAAGGAATCCCTCCTCTTAGGCATTTAACCCAGGAGGCTTTCCATAAACATATAGACCAACCCAAACCACCGGTAATTAAGGTAAAAGCAGTTTTGTTTTTAATTCACCTTCATTTCCTTTCGCCATTAAAATGACCAGCTTTTGGTTTAGTTTAAAGGTATGGGAAAAGAAGAAATGTTCACAAAAAGTATTTATTGAGAGCATGGGTATGTTAATAAACACTTTTTCATATGATTCCATATACATTTAATGATGAAATTTTTAGTCATTATTAAAGCACAAGCAATAAATAAACAGAAAATTTTGAAATAAAAACATAGCAGAACGTCATTTAAAGACTGAAGAAATTGCTTTGAATGTTCACAGTAGATTAGCTAGAGGGGAGAACTATAAAAATTTAATTTACGTTTATGAAGTGTGTCTATACTATATTACAGAAAATGAGGCAATCAAGTAGATTTCTAAGATGTCATCTATGACTTTGCAAGCAAACAAATAAACAAAAAAAGAAGCAAAATAAATGAATGATTTTTTTAAATGTAAAAATTAAAATTTTTCTTCAAAAATAAGCACGGATTTTAAAATTTATTTCCCTGCAAGTTATTTTGATATATTTTTACTCATTGTACATCTAGAGGGATGGCAAATTCAGCGACTTGTACCTCACACGGCAAAATCAAAGACCGTTTCTTGACAGCAAAAGCTTTATCTATGCCATCGAATTTTCATTTTCGGAAATTGGATGTCGGGATTGACACAAAGGGTCAAAGAGCATTTTACTTGAAACTAACAAAATGCGAATATTGCCAAATCATCTTTAAATGCACCAAGGTGGCAAACTGAGAAGTAAATCTTCAAGACATCCCTACGAAAATTGGGTCAGGGCTCGTTTCTACGGCAACAGACAGCTGCAGACAAACTGGCGAGAGCTTTCTTACCATAGACAGACAGTAGCTGCAAAAATGTTGTTAGTGCTAAATATTACTAGGGGGGATCAGAAAATGCATAGTGCTGATATCAATAGTAAAAATAAGCAGTAAGCTTATGTGTTGGAAATCATTTAGAAGTACCTAACTCTCTAATAAACTAGCCACCTAAAATAGTTATTATAAAACAGACAAAATGTGCAATAATTTTAATGAATCAGCTAGTGTAATTTCACATGCCTATTAATAATATTAGAGATGGGAAACTTTTTTTTTTTTTTGCTTTTAAATCACTTATTTTCCTATTAACATACAGATTAAGATGAAATAAAAATTAAATATCTCAGGATCTGATGAATGACGACATACTTCTTGTAAATTGCAGAGTTTTATGATTGAATTTGAATCATAACTATATACTTTGCTAAGGGCAACAATTTACTTTTAAGTCAATGAGTTATCAAAATGTCATTAAAACTGGCACAAAATACAAAATGAATAAAAAATTCAAAATAAGCACATTTGAGCGGAGTACTTAAGTGTTGAAAATTTCTTGGCTCTAGGTGCTGCTAGCCAATCATTAATATAAACTTTGGTTGGTTGACTGTGCATGCTCTGCGATCATATCTTCCAAGGAAACAAATCTTTCAACCAAATCCCTCTCCATGTTTTAAATATACAATTAAAACGGTAATATACAGGGTTATTCAAAATTAACTTGGCAATTACAAATGGCTACAACTGATCAATTGAGAAGAATTTATTGACAAGAATTACACAAATTGTAAAAGAAAGTTCAAATTTTGTTTAAATGTTCTATGCGACTCCCCTTGGTAACACAGCCAGCATCTAAGCAGTAGTCCATTTTACAGCATACATTCTGAAGCATATCTGGAGTCACCAATGCAAGCACATTAGAAATGCACATTTTGAGTTTTGAAACTGTTTTCGGCAAAGGAAGCGCATATAAAAGGTCTTTCATATAACTCCACAGGCCGAAAATCACTAAATTCATTTTGAATAAACATGCATATAAATTCATTATTTAATAATAGAGGTAATTCAGCTACACTCACAAAAAACTAAAACAGGAAAAAGACAAACTTTTCACATATTGGGCGGTTACAAAAGACTGTCATTTGTAGCAATCCATTCATTAAATGTGATTAATTTATTAAGACTACATTTCACTTTCCTAAAGAGGAAGTAAGTGGCTAGATAATGCATATAATCAATGAATACTGAAAAGGCAAAAACTGTGTTAAAGCATACAGTGTTGGACAGAGTACAAAATGAACAAAGTGGTTAGTGACTCTGACTGTCGTACTGAAAGGTCCAGGTTTAAATCTCATAGAAGGCATGGATGTAAATTGTTTGTTCCTTCGCAGGAGGCAATGGTGTCCTACCTGTTAAGTGCGACCACTTAGGCACCTAGGTGTTAAACCTTAGTAGTAGCCAATGACAACTTGTGCCCACCACTGGAGTGATTCATAATGACTCCCTTGTTACTAGGGGCAGCAATAGCAGAAGTAGAAAAGAAATACAGACATAAAGTAAAAACTTTTATAACAGATAATAAGCATAAAATGGAATAAAGGAGAAAAACGTTCATGAAGAGAGTTGTGTGCTTTTTGCAACTTACGAACATTCTGCTTATTATTTTAATCTGTGAAAAAGCATCTGTTAAATACTGATCACAGATAAATTATTTGGACCAAAAGAATATGCAGATGCTGTGAAGCCACAAATAGCTGGACGTCGGATATTCTCACAGATTCCATAGAATCATTTACAAGAAACTTGTCTCCATTGTATACTTGTAAATCTTGAAGAGGATATTGATGACAAAAGGGGTTAAGTGATAAGTAATATTATGATTTACACTTATTCCATGTGAAAAACCTGTTATTGTTGCGTTGAATGCAATCCAAAAACTGACTGTTCTATAATGTTCCTGAAATTTCCTTACACTAAAAAAGCAGATGATAATTTTAGGAAACTTTGAAAGATAAGCCCAAAACAGTTCAATCAAGCATTAATTTAACATTAAGTGCTAGTTTGTATACTTCATCCAAAAATATAAATTATAAAATGAGTGGGAAAAATATTTACTGGTGTAACATAATATTTATTTACAGGTTAATATAATATAAACTGAAATTTTATGAATTACATGATAGTTTTTCACACAAAATCACCTTTTTTCTAATAAATATTTCTCCAACGAAGTTTTGCAAAATGTTTCAGCCTCTACTTGCCAATTTAGTTTAAAGACAAGCTAAAGTAATTAATAGCTATTTGCTTTTAAAGAAGCAAATAGCTATTAATTACTCTTATTTATACAATAATGACACTGCTTGCAATTACTGCCATTTATCTACAATAAATTAAAAAGTTCTTCAGTTTTCAATCATTAGCAAAATAGATCTTTTGTAATTTGTGAAAACAGTGAAGCATAGCTTAAGTGGTGAATTTGCTGTTATAACCTTGAAATAGACATTATAAATGTTATGGCAGAACTCAATATTAAAATACATTTCTTTCTACCACCTAAAATTTAATAAGTTTTTAGTCATTTTTAAAGTTTTTGTTAGTTAGTATTAATTTCTGCCATGTCACTTATAACAGTAGTTAACCATCTAGGCTGTTAGCTCTTCCTCATACAATATAAATAAGTAACAAAAACTGGTTTATATTTTTTATTAATACATGAGAATTCCAATTAACTGAGCACTTGCCATTCTTTCTAGGCCACATAAAATTAAATTTACTGCTAATCCAAACTCATTATTTTGTTACTTATTCTGGAATTTTCAACTAGATATTTACTTATACTGGAATTCTACTCTACTTGTTACAAGTCTGATATAATAATAATAACAATAAAATAAGTGTTTCAGAATTACCTTTGCTAGGATAACTTTTTGGAGTGCTAGGAAATCTTTCAGGTTTTGGCAAACTTTGTGCGGAATTGAACATGTTCCTATATCGTTCTTCAAAATCTAAAAGAAAAACAACACACACATAAAAAATTCTGTACAATATACTCATCATAAATTAAAATATGCAGATGGAAAAAGCAAAGAATATGCTTTGTACTTCCTTTCACAAATGAGCTATCTGAAATCATACAGTATTATGGCACCATTTTTAACATTCCATTACAGACAAGAACATTCAAGTTAAAAATTAATTTCAAGTTTTGAAATTTACTGCAGGATTTGCCATGTTACACATTAGTTTTGCTTATTCAAGTCACTGGGTTTAATAAGCTTTTTTTAGGTTAGCAATGCTGTAAGTGAGACTATATGTACTCATGGATATATGCACATACACAAATTTTTTTGAGGTATTACTGTGATACTATGCCCTTCCACTCGTTGAATCTCTTTTCCAAGATACCAAAATATTTTATTTATTAACTTAGTTAATTAACTTCATCATTTAAAACTTGTCCTTTTATTTCACAACTTTCCTTCTTGACAAAAAGTGATTTAATATCCTAAATCTATTCATCCCCATACTTAAAATCAAAAATTTTAAATCAATTAAAATGATTTACTTGCCATTATTTACTTCATTACCACTGAAAAATCCCAAGCATTTAGAGCGGCATCATGGCCATGCTATTTTGAGAGAGATACTTCAGGAAACAAACTATTCAGGGAACAAAGTGACATTGAAAAGTTTTTAATTCATAAATGTAAACAGTGACTAGGGGAAAAAAAAAAAAAAAAATCCAATATTTAGGAAGAGAAAATAAGTTTTACATGTAAAATAAAAATTTGTAACAATGTAAATAAATTAAAAAAAAAATTAGCAAATAAGTGCTAAACAAAGAAAATAAGTATATCAAAATTAAGAATTTTTTAAATAAAAGTTTGACTCAATTATAGCAAATATTGTTGTTTCGGAGAAAAAGGAAAAAAGGAGAAAGTAAAACTGGACATTAAAAGTATAACTATTGCATGTATTATTTGAGCAAACACACATATGCTGATGTACAAAGAGATCTTAATTATACCTCTGCCTACCCTACCTTCATTTAGATGATGGGCTTTTTCTTTAGAATTATCTCATATTTTTTTGACATTTTAAAATATGAAAACTGGCAAAAATAAGTCAATCCATGAAAAGGACATGTTTTTTTTTTTTTTTTTTTTTTAATTTTGATGAAAAGATAGTCAAAGCTATTTACAAATATGATATTAAAAAAGACAAAGTAATTGGTCCATACAACAAAATGCAAATGGTTCTTGCACAAGATTTTTTTTAAAAATGGAAACAGGATTCAAACAAAATACCTCAAAAGTACTTTTACTTAACATTATATCAAAATTGTGTTATGCAGGTTAAGCATAAAAGAGAGATAAGAAGCATGGTGTACTCATCCCAATACAGGAGAAAATATGTATTTTTTGGCTGATATTATGCATCTTTATTGCACTTCTGCAGCTAAAGAAAAAGATTCTAAACCTCCAAAAGTAGTCCCATAAATATTATGCTGTTTCTTATTCCTTATCCACCTCCAATATAACCATTATTTGGCATGTGATTTTTAACTCAGTTTTGCACTTCTGCAACTGAAGAAGTAGTTTCTATATTTAAATCTTCAGAACTAGTCTAACACATTTATCAATATTACACTGATTATTGTTACAATAACCTTCTGAAGTTCACATGAAGTTAGCTGATTGATACTACAATTATTTTAGAAGAACAGAAAGTAATAAGAAGCCATTGATTCACCTAATTGAAAAGGAAAATAGAGATAATAATTTGAATCATGTCATAAGTTGAAAAAGGGACTTCTTACACTACTGCATCTGCTCTGGAATAATATCTACCTGACTCAGAGAACTGCAAAAAATCTTGTAAAAACAAAAATGACAAGCTTGGCACACTGAATGATTATATATATCATATATATGAATTATATATGGATAAACATACAAGATATACAGTACAAAATCCGTAATTTGGACTCGTAGGGACTTCGTCGATTCTGGATTATAGATCATCAATTTAAATCTGGTAATAGGGCATGCAGAAATTATACAATTAAAAATATGAAGCCGTAATTTATGAAATAAACAGCAATTATGATCTAAAGGGTATCAAAATTTACAAAAAAAAAAAAGCTTAATATTGATTTGTTTACTTTATTAAACATTCATCACTTTGTCACGATCGTCACTTTTAGCATAACGAACCCTTTTTCTGTTAGTCATTGCAAGTGGGGTGTCAGAATACACAAAATATTAAAAAAATTCTTTTTTCTTTTTGCTTATGTCATTATACAGTTCACTTTCCAATGTCATACTCCTCGCATAATTTTGAGACGGATATGCCTTTATCAATTTTTTGCAACAATTCCACTTTTTATTTGATGGACATCGAAACATGCTTTTCACTTTTTAGATCCTTTGGCAGCTCCAGAATTTGAAACTCTTTTTGACATAATCGAAAGTTCAAGCTTTTTATAAAATTTCTTTAACAGTCTGCAAAAAATAATAAGCCAGATCCAATTAGAAGATTAAGGAACAGTGCAATCTGCAACATTAAATGAAATGCCTTAGATAATTTTAGCCTAGCTTATACCGTCCATTATACATTAAATGCACATGCTTAAACGTATAATGCGTTTACGCATGCACATAAAGTTTGTAGCTTTGAGGTCCGGATTATAGATCACTCCAGATTATGGACGTCCAGATTAGAGACTTTGTACTGTATATGAATTTCCATTCAAGAGTGGTTACAGATTACACAAAGCAATTCATCAATTTTGCAAAACTGCAAAATCAACAAGATGCAAAAGTAAAACACAACTGATTTTTAAAACAGGAGTTTAACCAGTAATTCCGTACAAATGTTGCTTAAGAAAGTTCAATCATCATATAATATGACCTACATCTCAACTCACTGATTACATCAAGATACACTTGAAAACACAGTTTTACAGGTAAGTACTCTGGGTAGCCCAGATGATCATCCATCACATTGAAATGCACTACACAGACTAAGAACAATTATCTTAGGAAGAAATAAATGGATTTGCAGTGCAAAATTTTTCCAAAACACTAGAAAGTGGTAACTATTTTATAGCACACATCTCAAGGAAATCTCGCATCACTGAAAAAGGTACATCTCAGATGCAGATTTTTCTATGCATGGAAAATAATTGTGGAAACAATCCAAAATTTAGAGGATTTAGATGGCCAGTACCACATTATATATCAGTTGATCATGCTCATTATTTCATACCCAGCATGCTATTCCAAGATGAATGCTTAAGGCAGTCACAGAATAACTGAGGAATGCATTATTTCTCACAAGCAGGTGATTATACCACGATAATTTTAAGCATGAGCTCTGTGAAACTACGTACAGGGTATCTAGGTATATGTTCACTTTAAATAACTGAGGAATGAATTATTTCTCTTAAGCAGGTGATTATTCCATGAAAATTTTAAGCATCAGCTCTGTGGAATTACGTACAAGGTACTTAGGTATATGTTCACTTTAAATAAGTCCAACTAAGTCGAGTTTAGATAGAAAATTTTTTGTTTGGTATACAGCTCAATGTCGATGAGTTGTGTCACACAATATTTCAGTGCATACTAAACTTCTTTATTCCTTTTAAGAATGCTATGACCAATTTTATGTAAAAGTGATATAATAAACGTATGGCAACATCAAATGCTAAATCTGTAACCAGCCAGCTAAACCTTTACCAAATGGATAAATATTGAAAACTTTGCAGAAAAGTATCTCTTAACAAAGCTCGAATAAACCACAATAGCATTGTCTCGAAGGACCTAACAATGATTTCCAAACCATTATGAACAAAAGGCAGAAGCAAAGTTCTTTGGGCAGATTTTTAGTTGAAGTCCGACCTGGTAATCCTCAACAAGGTCCAAGTAGGGACCTGACAGAAGAAAGAAAAAGAGATAAATTTGGCAGATTTTCATTTATGTACATTATGTATTTAACCCTCTGTATTTGTATTTCAGCATTAAAACAAGTGTTATAACAACAATAGTTTGGTATATGCCCAGTTTGTTTCCAAGGATCTGAAACAGATTAATGACATATAGCATGGTACAGTCAAAAGTCGTTAATCCGGACTCGTCGGGACTTCGGTGATTCCGGATTATAGATCATCAGTTTAAATCTGGTAAGATGGCATGCAGAAATTATAAAATTAAAAATATGAAACCGTAATTTATGAAATAAAGAACAATACAAAAAAAAAAGCTTAATATTTATTCGTTTACTTTATTAAACATTTCTTTCAATGCGCGCATGCTTAAAGCATACATTACGCATAGTCGAAATTAGAAAATTGCAACCAGAAAACTATTTGATGTGTATTCGTGACATTTATAATGAATTTGATTTAAATCATATAAAAGACAGAGCACATCGAGATGAAATACTACATTTAGTAATGAACTATAAGCCGAATAAAATAAGAACATCTGCCCTTAAGATATGGATAGTGCTGACAGATCAACTTCCAGTTCATTGCGCGCCGCGACGTTCCCCTCCCCCCCCCCAGAGCAGCGTGAAATTGATAAACAGATTTCGGAATGGTTAGAAAAACAAAAGATATGCCTTTATCCATTTTTTTCAGCAATTCCACTTTTTGTTTAATGGACTTCGAAACATACTTTCGCTTTGTAGATCCTTTACATATTAGTAAATATATATCGGAAATTCTAATTGACATAATCGAAAGTTCAAGCTTACTTTTATAAAATTGCTCTAACAGTCTGCAAAAAATAATAAGCCGGATCCAATTCGAAGATTAAGGAACAACGCAATCTGCAACATTAACTGAATTTAGATAATTTTAGCTTAGCTTATACCGTCCGTTATACATTAAACGCACATGCGTAAACGTATTATGTGCATGTGCACACGCATATTCGCAGCCATAAAGGTCTTACGCGCATGCATCAACGCGATGCATGAGCAGAAAGTTCGTAGCTTTGAG